TTTAATTATTATTAAATAAATAATTAATTTTTTTATTAATTATTAAAATATTTATTTATTATTATTAAACGAATTTTCGAAATATTTACGGGAATTTTTCACGAATTATTTCGGTTCGTTTTAAATTAATTTTTACGATATTTATTATTTCGATAAATAAATTTACGTTTTTTTAAAAAATGTTTTTTTTACAGTCGTAATATTAAAAAATTTTATAATAATTAATTTCATGTTTAAATAAAAATATTTAATATTTTTAATTAATTAATTTTTTATATTTAAAGTTTAATTTTTTAATATTACGCGTTTATTTAAAATTTTAAAAAAATTTAAGTTTTTAATTATTTCGTTAATGGTTTTTTTTATTATTTTATTATTTATTTACATGTTTATTATTATTATTATAATGATTATTATTTTATTAATTTATTATTATACGGTTTTATTTAATGTTATTTTTAAAAATTAAAAAAAATTTTATTATTAATTTTTTTAATTATTTACATTAATTATTTCGTTATTTACATTATTAATAACGGTTTTAACATTATTCGATATTTTAAAAATGAGTTTTATAATTAAGGTGGGAATTTATTATAAAAGTGGGATTATTAAGTAAAGTTTTAAAAATATAAAAATAATAAAAATTTTAAAAAAACTTAACTTTTAATATTTAAAAATATTTTTTTTAATTTAAAAATTAAATATCGGTTTAATATTTAATATAAAAATAAACGATAACGATAATTTTATTTATAAAATTTATAAAATTAATATCGGTGTAATATTAAATATATAAATTAATAATAACGATAAAAAAATATTATTAAATTTTATTTTTTTAATGCGCGGTAAAAAAATAATTTTTAATTTATTTAAATGTGATAATGAAAAAATTAATAAAAAAATAAGATTTAATGGTTTAAAGTTTTAAAGTTTTAAATTTTAAAGTTTTAAGTTTTAAAATAATAAATTTTTAAAAAAAGAAAAATTTATGGAAATTTTTAAAAAGTTATAAATTTTCGTAATAAAATATAATTATATTAATTATTATTAAATATTTAAATTTATTAAATTTATTTTAAATTTTATTAAATGAAATGTTTAAAAAATAAAAACCGATTTTTTTACGTTATATAAATTTAATTATAAAAAAAATACGTTCGAAAAAAAAGTGATTTTTAATTTAAGTTTTATTTTTTTAAAAATAATTTATAAAAAATTTAACGGGGTTTTTTCTACGGGGTAATTATACGCGTACGAAGTATTAATAATAAGTTTCGTAATAAAACGAAAAATACGATTAAAACATTTTTTAAATTTATATATATTAATTATTTATTCCGCGTTATATTTAAATAAACGCGAAATAAATTAATATGTTTTTTTTATAAAATTTAAAGTTTTATTAAGTTTTTATATACGATTAATTTTAAAATAAATTTATAAAATAATATAATTTTTTAATTTTTAAATATATTTAAATTATTAATGTTACGAAATAATTAAGAAATTTATTATTATAATAAAGTTTTTTTTTCGAAATTTATAAAGAAATAAATGAAAAAATAATTAAATTAAATAAAATAAACAAGAAAAAAATTAAATTAAAAAAAATAAACGAAAAGAAAAATTAAAATAACGAAATTTTTAACTTATTATACCGTATTATATAAAAAATAAAAGAAAAAAATTATTATTAAATTTAATAATAAAAAATTATATTAAACGCGTAGCGGATTATACGAATAAATGTAAAGTTATTAAATTATAAAGTTATTTATATAAAAAAATAAATAATAATTATTAAATAAAAAAAAATTTTAAAATAAAATAAAAATATAAAAAAAAAATTTTTATATTAAGTTTCGAATTACGTATAAAATGTTTTTTTTTTATATTATTTATTATATTTTATTAAAAATAATTAAAAGTTTTTTACGTAATAACGTTATTATTTTTAAGTTTTTTAATTTTATTTCGTAATTTAAATAATATAAAATAAAATAAATAATAATATATATATTTTTAATATAATTAATTTTTTAATATTTATATTAAGTTTAATTTATTTATTAAATAAACGTATATATATAATTTTAATATATAATAATAAATAATTATTATTTAAAAAAATAAGTTATAATATTTATTTATAATAATTTATTTATTAAATAATTATATATTATTATATAAAAATTAATATTAAATATTATTAATATTAAAATAAATATTATTAAATAATTATATATTATATTATTAAAAATATAATTAATTAAAAAAATATATTAATATATAAAAAAGTTATATATTAAAATTAACACGAAATTATTAAACGTTTAAAACTTAATATAATTTTAATGTTTATTAAATAAATTATTATTAAATAAAAACGTAAAATTTTTTTCGAAAAAAAAAGAAAAAAATTACGAACTTTAAAATTTTAAAAAATTATTATATTAATTTTAAAATATTATTTTAAATTTTTATATTAGTTTTTATTATAAATATTTAAAAGTTATTTATTTTATTAAAGAATATTTAAAGTTAAAAAAACGTAAATTTAAGTTATTATTTAAAAATAAAATTTTAAACGTAAAAAAAGTTTATTAAATATTAATTTTTTTTTAAATTAATAATTAAAAATTTATAAAATTAAAATTAAACTTATAAAGTTTTTATAAAAGTTTTATTTATAATTAATTTTAAAAATAAAATAAATAAAAAATTTTATTTATATATATATTGTATTTTTTATAAAAAAAGTAATTAAAAGTTTTTCGTATAATAACGTTATTATTTTTTAATTTTTTAATTTTATTTCGTAATAAAGTTAATTATTATAATTTTTATTATCGTTATTATTATTATTACGAAAAAGTTATAAAAATATAAAAAATAATATTTTTAATAAATTTAAAAAACGATGTTATATATTAATAATAATATTTTAAAATAATTAAATTTATATTTAACGTAATTTTTATTAAATAAATATATATTTAATTTTATTAATAATATTATTTTTTTAACGTTTTTTTTTTTTCGTTTTCCGGTAAAAAAAATATAATATAAACCGTTATAACATATATTTAAAAATATAAATTATTAAATAAATTATAAAAATTTTATATTTAAATATAAAATATAAAACTTAATTTAATACGTTTAATATATTTTTAATAAAACTTTAAAATAATTATATAAATAACGATTTTTTAACGTTAATATTAATTATTATTATTATTATTATTTCGTTTAATAAAAAGAAAAAATTAAATTAAATACGTTAAATTAATAAATAATTTTTTTTAAAAATTAAATATTAACCGCGAAAAAAATAATATCGGAAATTTAAATAATAAATAAAAATATAAATAATAATTAATAAAAATTATTTAATTTTTACTTAAATATTATTATATTTATAAATTTTTTTAAATATTATCGTATTTTATATTTAAATAAAATTTATTATTAAAATAAAATATATTTATTTTAAAATAAGTTAAAAATTTAATATAATAAATATTAATTTTTTTTAATTACTTTTTAAAAATTAAATGTTTAAAGTAAAAAATTTTATAACTTTAATATTTAATAATATTTATTTAAAAAAAAATTTTTTAAATATAAATAATTAAATAATTTATTTTTTTTTAAAAAACTTATAATTTTTTTTATAATAAAACGATTAATTTTATTAACGTTAATTTATGTTAAGTTTCGAATAATTATTTAAATATAACGTTAAAATAAAAAAATTAATTAAATAAATAAATTATAAAATTTAAATATTAACGTAAAATTAAAAAATAAAATAAAAAATAAATAATATATAATATATATTTAATAAAAAGTAAAAATAAGTTATATTTTTTTTTAAGTTTAATAAATATTTATTTATATAATTTTCATTTTATTTTTTTTTTATTAATAAACCGTAAAATTTAATAATAAAAATTAACGTTATTTTTTCGTTTTAATTTATTAAATTAAAAATTTTATAAAATAAAAAATATTTTTATTTATAATAAATATATATTTATTTAAATATTTAAAATATTATTATTAAATATTAATAACGTTTTGTAAATTATAAAGTATAATATAAGTTCCATATATACTGCTTATTTATATAGTGTATATTTTAATATATTAATTAAATTGGCGGGTTGGCGGATACGGGCTTATGGTCCACCTTATGAAATTCAACGTTGCAGTCTACGACTTTCCTAAATAGTTAATTTAACTCGTTCGCATTTAATGGCAGACACCCTCCTTAGCGATCATTTTCTAGGATTAGAGAGCTTTATATGTTGAAGCTCTGTACTAGGTAATGTACTAGGTAGGGTCACCAAGTTCCTTGAAATTCCCTCTGTGATTATTTTACCATATCTTCAACCCTTTCCCCTTTACTCAAGTACCCACGTAGTCTAGACCCCAGGTTTTAATATCCGCTTAATCAACATCTCCCTTTTCTTCCATCCCCAACTCACATTAGCCGAGACCCTTGAACCAGCTTAACATCCATGCATATACCTTCTCATCCACGCACCTTGATTTGAGCGCGTCTCCGTCATGGACGCACAATGCCACGTTTTCCCTAATATAGCATCATGGTAATATATACCTGGGTATCTTCCTGTTCGCATTGCAACATCGTCTTGCCCCTCTCCCACTTTCATCGCCCGTCATGGCTTGACCGAGGTAGCCTAGACCTCGCGTAAGCTAACTCGGTAATATAGATTACTTGATTCTATGGTCCTGGAAAAGGTTGACACTGAGGGGTGGCGTGGTATGAAATATCCTCGGACTGGTGAGCTCTTTACTAAGAGGGAAAGCTCTCCGCCCTCCCATAGGATGTAGTCATTCTTATTTCTTTTTCCCGCTATCACGTCCTTCAGGACTCTGATCCCTGAATTAAGAAACGAACAGCTATCGCGCAATTCTTTCCTAGGCACAGTGAAGATCATCGCTACACGAAGAATACAAAAAGAATGAAGCTTCTAATACCTATTTTTCTGGCGCTACTTGGCAGCGCATCGGCAGCCTTGAACGTTACGGGCTCGACATGTACCGTGACACCATTGACGACTGGCGTTAATGGAAAGGAACCAGACGATACTCCCCAGATCCTAGACGCCTTCAAGCAATGTGGAGTGAATGGCAAAGTAATCCTGACCGAGGGATTGTTCCATATCGGACAGGTGATGGATCTTAAGAATCTGCAGAATGTTGACGTAGAGATCCATGGAACAATGCGATGGTCCTCTGATATCCAATACTGGCTGCGCAACAGCATCGGTGTTGAGTACGCGCAGCGGTCGACTGCGTGGCGTATTGGCGGACAGGGCATAAGCATCCGCGGGTTTGGCACGGCGCTCTTCGATGGCCAGGGTCAGCTGTGGTATGATCAGAATAGGAGCGGGAGTAACCAAGCAGGGCGACCGATTAGTCTAACACTCTGGCACGCGAAGGATGTCTTTATTGACGGAATTACATGGACACAAGCCCAGTTCTGGCGTAAGTAACCCATCTCTAATTTCAATTCTGAGTGTTAGATTTAAGAAAATGATGAAGGGCTAATATGGAAATATGCATTTAGACACTTTCGTTGCCTACAGCGAGAATGTCACCATGACAAATCTCGAGATGAATGCAACCTCTAATTCCCAATGGAATACGGTGAATACGGACGGTACCGATACCTGGAACTCGAAGGATGTGTTAATCAGGAATTGGACGGTAACATGTGGTGATGTAAGTATTTTCATGCTTCTTATGCTTTTCTTCACTCTTCCGCCCACCCCTTAATGTCCCATGCAAACCAACAAGCACCAAAAACCTCCACTTCTAACCAACCGTCTAGGACTGTATAGCCATCAAAGGCAACAGCACCAACATCCAAGTGTACGACGTGCACTGCTACGAGTCAGGCTGCGCCACGATCGGATCATTAGGAAACCCGAGCAACGTAGCAGACTACGTCGACAACGTGATCTTCGACAACATAACATGCACGCACAGCTCGAACGCAGCCTGGATCAAGACGTACAGCGGAACAGGCCATGTCAAGAACGTGACGTTCTCCAACATCAAGTCCGAGAACGTGAACCAGCCCATCTACGTCACCTCGTGCATCTACTCCAACAACGGCTGCGATTCGAGCCGTCTCCCTATCTCCGATATCCGCTGGATCAACGTGACCGGGACGTCGCGGTATAACATAGCCGCTGCCATGCATTGTAGCGCCTCGAGCCCATGTTCCGGGTTCAGCTTCGAAAACGTCGAGATCACGCCGCTGGACGGCAAAAGTACGCCCAAGTATCTGTGTAGTAACATCCAAGGCCAGGACGGCTCCGGAATCCCTTGCACGGGGACTTGTCCGGCGGGCTGGCCGCAGCAGCTAAGCGGAAACCGTTAAGTTACCGCAATATCGAAGAACAGCGAAGGGGTTGAGAGGTTAAGAAAGTAGTATGGCGGATGCAGACGAAAATCAGATATCGAAATTGCTGTGACCAGAAAGAAAGATTAAAAAATAAGTGTGTAGTCGTATCCAAGCGTGACCTAACCGTATCTCATTACTCGTCGCCGTGCTTTTTAGTTTCGTTTCGTTTCGTTTCGTTTTGTCCATTACCTCGTCGACGACGTATCCCCATACATAAAAACGCACGTAGTCTCGTACCCAGTCGTACCCGTATATCATACCCGTAGGCGTCCAGTTTATAATCTAATGCAACCGTACCCGCTCCAAACCTGTATAACCCACCCCCCCAACCCCTATTCCCACCTCAACCACTCCCTCCTCGCCCTCTCCACCTCCGCCTCAACCCATGCGGCTCCCAAAACATTCCTATCAAGCCCCACAATCCTCGCATGATACTCCTGCTCCCTAAGCCTGCGCTCCCTGACCTTACTCTCCAAGAACCCCAAATCGCCATGTCTGACCGCAGCCTTGAACACACTCCTCATGCGCTCGGAGTAAAGCTGACACGCCGCCAACGGCATCCTCTGGGGATTCTTGTGAAACGTAGCAGCAAGGGACCCGTTATCGGACTGAATCATCGGCCAGGCGACCTCGCCAAAACACTCCTCGCACACGGTGAAATGCGGCATCGAGCGCATGACATACCACCGTCCATTCCTGACCGGGTTCTCGCGCGCACACTCCGGCACCTCCGTCGACTCGCGCACGCGGTCCGCAAGCGCCTGTACATCCGGTGTACTTTTCGTCAAAAGCGCTTTATCAGCCGCAGCTTCCAGCAAATCAAAGTAAAACAAGAACCTCCTCTCGTTCTCCTGATGCAGCGCACAAACGCCGCGCACCGGCTCCCCCGACGCCTCCGTGGGCACAAACAAGCCCGTGAGATTCGGCAGCAGCACCTCCACGGTCTTCGCGCACGCAAAACACACCGTAAAGCCGTCCACCGTGCCGCCGGCCCTCAAATCCCTCACGGAGAACCAGCTGCGCACAACCTCCCTCCTGCCCGCACACGGCAGGTTTTTCGCCGCGATATTCGCGATATTGCGGAACAACAGCGCGAGATCGGGGCTTCCGTATTTGGAAGTGAGGAAAAAGGCGATGGGGAAGAACCGCGAGGCGCCGAAGTCGCAGACGAGAGGACGGTCGAAGGCGCGGAAGGGCGCGGGAACGAAGTGGTGCGCGAACTCGGTGTTGAGGAAGGTGGCGTCGTAGCACGACGGGCAGATGTGGAAGTTGTCGCACCGCGGGAGTGTGAGCCAGTCGACGTGGCCGGCTGCGGCGGTGCGTCGCGGGCAGCGGTGCGGGTCGGGCAGGTCGCCGGATTGTACGTCGTCGAGGTACCGGCGGTAGGGGGTTGTGGGTTGGGTTGTGCTGATGATGGATCTTAGGGGGCTGGTTTCTATGTGTGGGCGGGGTTGTCGGTGAGGGCTGGATGATAGTGAGGATGTTGAGGAACGTGGGCCTAGTGGGACAGGGCCTGTTCTTGGTGGCGTTCTGGGTGGTGGAGGTGGAAACGTTGTTGATTTGCGGGGGTCGGTGGGAGTTGGACCTGAATTCATAGATGCTGCGGTGGCTGCTGCGACGACGGCTGGGATTGCTACAGAAGCGGAAGTGTTTAACAAGGACTTAGCTGTGGAAGTCCGAGATAATGGTGGCTTGGAACGCTGCTGCTCGCCTCGCGAGAACCTGATTTCTTTCGGAATTGTTGAACTCCGTGGACTGGAAGATGGTGGATCCCTCTGCGATTCCTGTTCATAGATCTGAGAGGTCCTCGGAGATGGAATTGGGGATGACCTACGAGATCTTCGCTTGTCGCTTGATCTCAATTCTGGCGCAGGTTGAAGGAAAGGTTTGGTATCAGATCCTAATGATTCTTGTCGACGGTGAGAATGAACCTCATGTGGCACCTCATCATCGCTTGAATAATAATATTCGCCATGAATCGGATTAGACTTTCGCTTCTCTGTGGAATTGGATACGATCTCAGATCGCGCATAGCTATTTCGGTCTGGTCTAGGAGACCGGGGCTCAGCATATTGACGTGGCTTCTCGTAATCTACTTTCGACGATGCTCTCGCGTGTGGAGGAGAATCCGCAGTTGAGCGTCGTTTATGATGGTTAGGACTCGTTGACTTTGCAGACTGAATAGGTTTCTCTTTATATCTCCTTTCATCGCGAGGGCTCTGCTTCTCATACTGAATATTAGAATGAGATGAGCGATTACGGTGATGAGTGTGAGTAGTTGATCCGCCTTGATAGTATGCTCGGTCCCGTCCTCGACTAGCATGCTCTATTACATCTGGCGATAACGTATTCCCTTCCTGAAGTCGAGAGCTAAGGCGGGGTGAGAAGTAATCATCACCACCCTTGTCGGACCGCGCCGCGGATTTTGGTCTTCTCACCTCATCAGGCGACCGCGGCTCGGACTTAATGTCGGTGACGATAGTAGGCAGATGGTCGAGTTTACTACGACGCTTCTCATGATTTGGTTGTGCATCCCGCTTTTTCTCAGACTCTTCCTCATGATGCGCACGTGCATCATATTTGCGGCCTGTATTTGCCTCATAGGAAGTAAGTTCTGGTTCTGGTTCGGGATCGGGGTTTGGTTCCCTAGATTTGGGTCGCCTCGGCAACCTCTTGGCACCGTGCGAATGATCGTCTGAAGAATCAGACGAGGTCGACACTAAGACGAATCGCCTCTCCGGATTGAATTCGTGTACAGGGAGTAAAATGGGGTATTGTTCAGGATCCCCACGATGAATCGGTTCCTCGCCGGGCGATGCAGGAATCGGAGATCCGTATTCTTTGGCGAGTGAATCGTCTTCGTCCTCAACACTTGGAGGTGGAGGATAATTGCGTAGACGGCTGACGTTACGAGGTAACCTACTCGACGTCACATTCACATAGGAAGATTGACTCGATGTGGTGCTGGACGTTAAACTGCATTATTGTTACATTTCAGCAAAGCCGCTCATCTCCAGCCTATACGGATCTTATTTGACGAGGCTTGGTTCCAAACAAGTTAAAGCTTTTAATCAACTTACACCCTTGAATCTGGGCTCCTAGCCCTGGAATTTGGCCAATAGCCTTGTCGTAGAAAAGCATCGACGTCGACATCAACCATGATGGCGAATGGCGAAATTCGATCGACTTTATTGGAAGCCTACTTCTGGAACATGGCAAGTAGCGTCTGCTGACGGGCAGAAGAAGTGTGGTTGATGGGTAGTATGCAATCTAGACAGCCTACTTCTCTAAAGTCCAGCCTGCTTCGCCAGCCCCGAGGAGATTTCGCCGATCCGGGCTTAGCTCTATCTGGGAGAGTTACAGGATGACGAACAGGAAAGAAAACAAGTTACGAGAGATTAACTGCTGAAAAGTAATAGCTCGTAGACGTTGGTACTGTGTACTAAGTATGTAGGGAGCCGACGATAGACTGTTCGTGAGTGATTAATTTAATTTTTAAAAATTGAAAATTGAAATATGACGGAAGGAAGAGAATAAAGATTATGCTTGAATGTTCGAAAGTAGAATCCTGGAGAGTGTTGGCTTTAGAGCGGTTTAAACGTCAAGTGACCCCAGTGAGGCAGTGTGTCTTAAAAAGGATGACCCCCAAAAGACGCCTCAAGGTCAGTGGCTTCGGACCTTGCCGTGTTTCCCGTTTTCCTTTTTTTTTTCTTATTTTTTTCTTCTCCTCGTCTTAGGTGTTGTGTTGTGCCACTAACCAAGACTGTCTAGTTGATGTACGAAAATAATATAGATTCACATCCAAGTGCCGTGGGCTATATTTCGCCGCGTTGCCTCGATAGCCTTGCTACTGCACCTCGTATGCAGTTTCGCGACAAACCACAAGCCAGGGGTTCTTTTCCAACTTGTCGTCGAGAGGGTTGCAGTCATCCATCGATGTATCTGGTTCAGCTTAGATGAGCTGGTTGGAACCGGTCATCTTTTGCCCCTCACTAATCCTAACCAGGTAGCGTCCATAAACTGCATAAGCTGGAACTGGGCTGGGAACTGGCTGGGAACTGGCTAGGAACTGGCTGGAAACACTGGGAACACTTACTCCGCAGAGATGGAGCTGATCCATATTGGCTTGGCTTTTAGCCTTGAATACATGACCCTTCCATTCCCATGTCCCATGTCCCATTCCCATGTTCCATCTTCTATGTCGTACGTCGTACTGCATACTGTTATGCATATACACCTTCAGAATAATAAGACCCTTCTCGCCCGGCTACACACCTTACTTGCCTGCCTGTTCGCAAACAGGTCAGCTCAAGGTGTGCTTTGCATATCCCACCCATTCTTGACCCGGGCGTCGACCGTGTACGCATACGAACTCGTGGGCAAGAGGCGACAGTTCGTCCATATGCTATCGCCCGAGAGAATTAATATCTCCGCTCGTTACCTCGTCGACTGTTTGTACACCTCAGACGGCCAGAACATGATCGAGGTTAACCAGCGTCGCCTGTTTTCTGCCATAGCTTGTACTCTTAAAAGTTATCGAGTTGCCTTGTCATCTTAGTATATGTGACGCTGTATTTCTCGTCTCTAGACTGTATCTATCACCTTGTTAAACTGAGTGGTTAGCGAGATACAGGCAGATGACAACCTATGAGCCTCAGTTACGGGTTTTACTGTTTGAATGATCACTTACCTTGACTCAACTTTACCTGATCATGGAATCTCGCATGAGAGAAATGGAATTCCCCACATTCATCATGAAATTGACAGCACCCTCCGTGTACGTAAAGCGGTGGTGACAAACTAGGTATAAAAAAAACAAGTTGAATGAGCATCATTACCGAGTAAGGCGACTTGCAGGCCGGCCGCGAAATCAAGTTTAAATGTAGTGAAGATGGAACATGACATACTCGATCATTGCCAATACTTGTCACGTATGTTGTTGATGGAAACTTTTGGGTTGAAAGTTGTGGACGTGTCTCCAGCTTTTTTCGCATTTCTTAGATGTCAGGATGTCTCTCGTTCGCTCGCACCGCTACCTGCTACCTGCTACCTGCGACCTACCTACCACCCTACCACGTTTACACACATAGTATAGGGTCCCTGCGGGTTACCATGCAGCCAATACTCCGACGTCACACCTCATGCGACGAACTTCTTTCTGCAGAAGCGCGAGACAGCGCCCTCTTCTTTCTGTGTCGCTACCCAAAGTTTCACCACGGCGTAATTTTCAAGAGCTAGAGAGCCTCGGATGTAGCGAGGACGCACCATTCGCCGCGACGCACATCCCGACGCATGCAGCTAAATATCGCGATATCGAGATTCCGCTGCGCTGGGACCTCTCATATGCTTCAAATAAAGCGGTAGTTCGCGCAATGAGGTCCACGGTTGCCACACCCTCTCACTCTTCCATCCTTAGAGAGGCAATCAAGTGGGCAGATCAAACCTTTCGGCCGTGATATACCTCGACCGAATGGCGCCACCCTCCCTATCATTCGCGCGAGGCTGTAGATCTAAGTCATACAGCTCCGATCAACTTAAGCCCGCGCCAACTGGGCCGGCTACAGAGGGTGGCTAATCTTGGATGGCCAGCAAAGAGTATTACTGGACCTTGAAGCAGAACTGTCATCGTTCCCCTGAGGATGAATGCGAAGATCAACAGAGCATTAGCTGATATAAGTGTAATCGCACTTTAAATTGACGCCTCGTTTCTCGATGTGGATCTGGCGTAAGTTTTCATTTGTTACCCTTTTCCAAATACTCGAAACAACCGATAGTTACAGCCATCATAGAAAGTTGCTATTGGGCGAACCCCTCGTTTGCCGTTAGTCTCACAAGAGAGCACGGCGAGGAGGCAACAATAAGCGTAGTTTGCTGATAGATGCCGTGAGTCCGTTGGAACTCTCGATGTCCATGTGGAACAATGCGAGAAGTCTCGTCCATCAACGTGGTGGCCCTATCTACACATGAGTCAAACTTGAAGCAGCAGAGGATCAGGAGATGGGTAATAGAGGATATTGCGGTACAACGCCGTATGGACCCAGTCTATTACGAGTCAACCTTGTAAAGACGACAGCGAGAGTCTCGTCTAGTGCTGTGCTACATTGTCAAGTTGCTAGTGTTGCAGCGAAGCAGGCACGCGAGTAAATCACCACGCAAAGTCTTGTGGTGGCAAACAAGACCGCTTTAAGCGCTCCCATAATTGCCATGGACACTACGGTAGAGGAACATAAGTCTCACCCCCAATTCAACTATACCCTGGAAGATATACCTATTGAGTTCGGCTACGATTCCGTAGTCGTTCTTGGCTGGATGGGACAGCTCAGCACTAAGAAGCTGTTGTACTCTCTTATTATATGTCAGATAAGAAAAGCATTAGTATAAATCATCTTCATCAGAAGCAACCTGGCTATCACGACGGCTGTGGTTTCGCTCTATGGTGATAATGATAGGAGACCGAGTTGTCCTTTGCGCAAAGGAGAACCATACATTTCTAGGTCATGTTGCAGAGAAGCTCTCACTAATGCCACATAGGTAGCATGTGCGGAGTCACGGCCGTATACCGAGTTTGATTGGTATTGATACATCATGAACGAGACGCCTTATATTCATAAGCAGGAATTCATTACTATAGGTAGGTAGGTAAGAAAAATGAATACGAGCCCGATCACGATTAGTTCCCGAGAGCAGTAGATCTTAGGGTAGGGAAGCGATGATTGCCTTCGTCCAGATAGTAGCACCGACCTGGTTGGTGAGAGCGAGTGTGCGTGGATACACAGAGGAGCAACAGTCTTTAAGCGTTGTAGGTGATGTAGTCCAAGAAGTTGTAATCATGAAGAAACCGCCAACAAAGATCGCGTGGAAGTCCACAGATCGACAACAAGCCAGAGCTACCTATACAATAACACTCTTGATAAGCTTTCGTATAGATCATAGGTATGCGTATGCCCGGCCCGATAATAGCCACTACACCTGTCCGACCAAGCAACATCATGATGAGGATGACATGGTCCAGTAAGCTATCGATCGCCCAAGGGGTGAATTGAAGAGAGAACTTGTTACCAGTCCGGACCTAAAAACATGGTGCCCCGGCCAGGAAACGGATTCCGTTAGTTTAGTTACCGTGAACCGGGTGCCGAACCCGTGGCAGGTTATCATATGTAGGACAACATTCAACTTTGGGCTTGTTGTAGCAAACGGCACGGTCCGTCACATACGGAGTTTCATTGCACAAGCAAGGCTGATGCCCTATATGTATGGCAATGCCCGAACGGTGTGAATACAGGACCTTGTCTTGGTATCCAAACTTGTTACACTATGGGATAGATGAGTTGTAGGAATAATAGTGAACAATTGTAGAATTCGTGAATAGGGTCTTCGCCCCCGCGCCCCCGTTGCGTATTTCGTGTCATTGCCACCTCCTTTTGAGGTCATATCTAAAGGATATGTAATCTTTAGAAATCAAACCTTAGATAACTCATTGCAGGCGGTTGTTAAAATTGGGACTATGAGATATTGTGACACGAGCCAATAAACCAACAACACTAGGTGCGTAATGTGTGTTATAGATTGTAGAGTAAATGTCGCCAATCGGAAAATTGTGACTGTATTGTGATATTGAAGCTTCACTTTGGTTGTTGCTGGATGGACTAACCATCTGACTTTGATGGTGGCAGTGTAGATAGCATCGAAGTTGGAACCTCACGCTTGTGATGGTGATTAGGTACTTATAAGACTTTGTTATACAAAATACTCGCAATATATATCCTTAATAAGGAACTATGTTGATCGCCGACAATCATGAGTCACCCTTCATCTATAGTGTCGGTGACGATAAGTGTAAGACCACTACTCTGCAAGGGGTGATGACGACACAATAAGCTAACGCCGGAATACTAACGACCCGCCTGACACTTAGTCGGTTTATCACTCGCTGTTCGTCACGCGTCGTCTATTATCTGGGGCTGTCAAACGTGATCGAAGTACGATCTAGTCAAATACGAAGAACTACTATACTTGATCGACTACTAAATGAGGCTAGTATACCTTCCTACTCACCTAGGTATCTAGCTGTGCTACATCCAAGCTTTCCGAGACCTTTCGTAGTGAAGGCTGATTTTGGCCAGGAGAACCAAAGTGGGATCTCAAACTACTTACTAAGCACATAAATCACCAAGCAAATCAAGACCATGTATTCTTTAAATGTGTTATTGTATTGTATCAAAGTAGTAAGGGCATCCTAACACTCATCTTGAGTGCCGGAGCCCCGTTTCTGTAACAAAAAGCGGGTATTGGTGATAGAAAACGATGCTCGAAGGACGAAAAAAAGTAAAAAAAGAGCACCGTAGGTATGGATGTGTGGATGTGAGTGTAGGTATGAGTGGGTGTGAGTGTGTCAAAGGATGAGACCTAAGATGCAGGAACCTCCTGCCAAAGTAAAAGCCATTGAACACCGGGCCTGGTATGTTACCAATCCGAACCCTACCCCTTTTTCCGGGTCGCTCAAACGGGATACTCCTTCCCCTTTTCCCCGACGATCCAAAAACCAGCCCGTGGACTCCTCAACGCAGCCTTTTTCGAGATCAAAAGTCGGTCGTTACGGGCCGTAAAGATGTTCCTAATTCCTCTTAAATAGCCGTTTCGTACCGCCGACTTTACCCATCTCGCCGAACTTCGTGTCAAGTCGTTGCTCCGGAGGAGGTACCCGATCGCCACTAGCTATCCGTACCTTTTCCTTCACACTCTCTATCCAAGCCCGGCTCTCGTCGCTCATGTCAACCTTCCTTCCTTTCGGTCCGGCCAATCCGAGAGAGCTGTCTTCCTCGTCCCAATCCACACGCGACGACGACCGTGACCTAGCCGATGTCTGAGAAGATGGTGAGTCAGCCCCCTGCTCAATAGAAAACGGTGTCTTTGGACGTTTTGTTCCCCCTTCTTCACCCAGACTCTTCCTAGTTTTCCGGACCATGAGGGGGGTGCTGGGAGATTCCATCGCCGAGCCAGGTCGACTAGACGGGCTCGATCCTAAGCCACTTGGAACAGTAGGCAGGTCTCGGATATCCACCTTCCCTTCTCCTTTAGAACGCGAGCTATGATGTACTGCGTACTCCCGCAGGTATTCGCCCAAGTCAGCCCATCCACCGCCTATTCGAACCATCACTCTCTCGCCCTTTTCTCCAACGCAGCGGATAAGCAATTTAAGCGGAGGTTCGCCTGTAGAACGTGATAAATGATAGACCCTGATTCCTTGGCTGCTCTTTGTCTTTGCCCGCGAATCTCTCGCTGGCGCTAACATGAAGGAGGGGGTTCCACTGCGAGAAAATGAAGTACCGGAGCGCGCAGATAAACTCGAGTTGCTACGACGCGCAAAGTCCGAGGCTCTGGATTTAGGTCGGGAGGGGAGCTGAAGATCTGGTGGATTCAGATTAACACCAGGTGTCCTCTTGATCCGGATCTTAGCCGGGATAGACTCGAGGATATCACTGATTTGCTGGTGGAGGTGCTCATCTTCACTAATAGAGCTGACCGTACTCATGCGGCTTGGGCTACCGGCTTGGCTTTCATACTCGAACGAAGCATCTGCATCGAAGACCTCGGGAGGCTCAAGGGGGCTCCGAGGTGGACTGCTGCCTAACTCTAAATTTGGGTCTGGCAACGAAGCTATCTCGGGAACATCCTTAAATGTGACAGATGTAGATCGAGCCTTGTAGCGCAAAGGCGGTGAGCTAGGTGGACTGATATTGTCGCTTGAGAATGGCTCGTCGGGATCCGCTAAACGCGGCAGATCTGGCTCCATAGACCCCTCTCTAAAAAGGACACTGTCTGAATTGCCGAGAAAGCTGTTGGAAGTGCCATGTATGACGGTGGAAGCAATAGATTGGTTGCTGGTTCTATGACTCACAAAACGGGCAGGAGGCAATTCAAGTTCTTCTCCTTCCCCTTCTTCGTCTACCGGCTCCAGCACCGAAGGCTCCAATATTGAAGATTCGAGCTCATCAACATAAACAGGCTCCCTCTCGGCAGTTTCCTCTCTTCTCTTAAGCTCTAGGGGAGGACTGCGTATGATATTCCGGTCGACTTCACCTAAAACGGGACTGGTCCTAGGACTTTCAGATGTCTGCCTACTCTCCGATTTGTCGTGCGTCTGCACACGCGACTGCTTAGACGGTCGAGATAAACGCGGGAAATCGGATAGCACGGTAATTGATTTGGAAATTGTCTTTTTAACAGCCACAGGCCGTTTCTCACTAGCACCATCATAGTTGAAGGGGTTTTGAGCCTTGGCTCTTGGGTTAGTATCACGTTGGTGCGCTGCGACGGTGCTCGGGTCGACAACTTGTGAGGTCGACGCCGGGGTGTCCTTCCTCGGTCCATTAGCTAGGAACTTCACCGCAGTGGGTTTGGAAGATGCGGCAGGTCTTCCTTTCGGGAGCTCAGGGCTATTGTCCATATCTTCAGTACGTCTCGGTTCTGTGGGGGGGTTGGACGGCGTCGGAGGTGAGGCAAATTGATCAAAGTCAGATGGCTCTGGCGAATCCTTGGTTGGGCTCGGACCTTCGACATGAATCTGTGGTCGTGGGGTTTCCGGCTCCGTTCGGATAGATACATCCTTAGATGATACTTCAAGTTGATCGTTCCTCTCTCCCGCTAGAACTTTGCGCTCCGCAGTTGTTTCCCATATCGCGTAACCTCGCTCAATTTGTTCCATCTTATCAAGCCACTCGTCAGGCAGAGTATCCATCGAACCCTCTAGTGAGTCGAGCATATAGTCTAAGGCTCGGCCAGGTTTCGTTACTTTCTGTTGTATGACGCGTTTTATGATATCAAACTCTTTTCTAGAAAGGTTAGACGAATTGTCGCGTCCAGTTGCGCGTGTGGGGCTAGACTCGGGCGATTCGATCGCGTTCCAGCCAGAACGCAACGCGACCTCTGCATCTGCAATCATGACCATCAGAGACGGAACTTTTCGCAAGATAAGGAATCGCGTAGTCCACGTGTTTAGTAATCTTGTCAATCTCGACAAGTTAGGCAAAGCCTGAACGGTGATGGCGGTAACAACCGCGGTCAAATCTTCCATTTTCGCAAACATGGAAGTGGACATGACAGAGCAACCGCCATCGGAGAAAGCTGGGCTGCTAGGTCGCGAAAGCGGTAGGATATGGTTGTGTAGAACTTGGCTCTTGATCTCCTCCAGATCTAGATCGTCTAACTCTTGTTGTATCTTTTCGACTCGTTTCTCGTAACGGTCCACGTCGGCAACGCGTAAGCTGCCAAGGTAATCGGTATCGTAGGGAAGGTTGGATTCGGTCGACTTGCCGCTGCCACCTCCTCGCTGCTCTGGCTCGAAAAGCTTCCTTTTCTTAGCAGGAGGCATCTCAAAGCCGGTAGCGCCATTACTCCGATGCCAAGTCCAGTTGGAGAGCTCTTCGAGCCAGTCGCGTATCTTTTTCGAAGCGATTGCGGTTCGCATCGCAAAGGCCTGCTCGGAGGCCGAGGCTTTATCCATACATGCTTTCAAAGCTCCGGTAGGAGATCGGAGAGCATCGACAGCGGCATTGGGTGAAAGTTGGGAAAGTAAGTCGTCGCCTAAACGTTGTTGGTGGCGAGACGGCGACTGCGAACTTGTGCGGAGATAGGATCGTCGAACGGCGCTCCGGGAGCCGATAGGCGTCGACACGCGTTGTTGGTCGGCCATGGTTAATTGCTATATTGGTTAGTATCCGGGAATGTGTCTGGTACAGCTTTCTGAGCAGGCATTTCCAGCTCAGATGTGACCTGTCGACACGGGTAGATGAGATGGTAGGCTTTTTTTTTTTAGATTCGGTCCTCCATAACCGGGGGCGACGATTTGGTTTGTCGATCTGAAACTCTCATCTCCTCTCGCTTTCTCTCTCCTCCTAATTGACACCTGAGCACCTTCTTACGAGTTCGTCCTTCCAACTTGAGACAAAGCAGGGGCGATGTCCGGCAAGTCGTCGCGATTCTGGAAAACGCGGGAGGTCGTTCAAAGAAGGGTCTCAGTTTCTCCGGTTACCTGCAGCTGTCGGGAACCTGGGAACCTTGGAAAAACAGCGAAGGTGGATATAGGTGGGTTGAGATCAATCTAGTGTTTGGCTGATCAGTCTTGGTGACGTGTGTGACAGTGTGGATAATGATATGCGACGTGTATTGCGCTGAGTGTTCCCTTTTCCGTTTATTTTTATCAAAGAGCGACAAGTTACCAAGTAACGTACATTGGTTTTTTGGAGAACAAGAAAATCAAAGAATTATGAAAGTAACAGGTTCATAGAAGAACACAAAATAGGCTCATGAGAAGAGCACGGCCGCAGCCGAATAGAAAGGGACAAAAGGAGAAAAGAATGAAAGAATTAGCTATCTAATGCCGTCGTGGGGAAGTTGAAAGATGAATACGAAAATAGAAGTGACGAGCCGTGGATGACAACAACACGCCGTCTCTGTATTAATGGTAGAGTTTCATGAGAAACCACCTAGACCACCTTCCGGTACTAGGTAATCTTGGCTGTTTGCCCGCAGAAGCTGCTGCACCGGGGGGATCCTGCCTCCACAAGCAGCACATCAGTAACTAGCGAGCCGCCATGGCAACCAGTAGCAAGCACCGCTTAGTGTTTCCCAATTAAACTCATTAAAGGTAGCAACAGCGATCCAGTCCAATTTAATTCGCTCGTTAGACTGGACCCCTGTCCACATTGAACCTAAGCCTCTGGTTAAGCTCCCGGCTTCCAACTTCCAACTTCTGACTTCATAACTTCTCTCTCTAAACACAACTAACATTATGTCTACCTACATATTATCAATCAATAGCCTACCTAATATTTTTGAACCTGAGAATTGTCTACCCTTCATAACGTTATGACCAGAACTTGTTCAATTGTATACCCACTAGGTACTACCGGATGTGTAGGAAAGCGATGGGGCTACAAAAAGAAATCCTTTAATCTATTCGAGTGGCACTCGGCGCCCGGCCAAAGTCGATCCAATCTAATGAAGAGCCTCTTCCGTCACGAGGGTCTATCTAAGACAAGCCATGCTTTTTCACGCACGGGCGGGCGCCGGGTCTATCAATTGGGGTAATGCCAATATCACATGGATATCCGGATTCCTGGGCCAATTACGAACACAGTTTACTTCACTTTACTTCACTTTACTTTATTTTACTAGACCGGACCCGAATCTAAGACAAGAGAAGCAGATCGTAGCAACACCTCGATATATTCAACTCGCCAATATATCCCATCCTCCCCACCAAATACCTATCCAATGTCTATATCAAATCAAAAACCAACTCATCCCCTATTCCATACTCATAACGGGGTATAGAAAACAGAAAAAGAATGAAGTAAATCATAAATCCACCCCCATGAATTAAATGGATAAAAACTTTTAACCACGCACCCAACACCTCAACCCACGAATGAGAAAAAGAATCCGGAGACGCCCATATCTATGAGTCCAAGACGACGAACCTCCAACACCATTTAAGCCTATCCGGGAATCCTGTCATAAGCGAAGGTAAAATCCTCGTAACACCATCTCGTTCATAAGCATAAGTCATGCCTCAAGACAAAACACCCCGCCCAGATCCGTCTAGCATACCGATATTAAAATTCGCCGACCCATCGATCTCGCTCATCGTCACCACGCCTGAACCTACTCCACCATTTGTCCCTGTACCCTTGCCCTCGCCGGGGAACTGCAGCCACTGATCGAAGTCGATATTTGTTCCCGTTAGTGCGTTCCAATCGAACTCGTCGTGGTTATCAAGGCTGTCAAAGTCCATATCTAAATCCATTGGCCCGGCATGTCCGTCAGAGGATCCGCTCGCGCTAGGCGTGAGTACATCCTTCTCAGTATGTGGTGGGGAGTGAACTGTAGTTGTGATGAGTTCAGTGGCGGGCGCCATGAACTGCTGTGCTGATTTCGAGAATAGGCTCGTCTCCTGAGTCGTCGCGTACGGCGCATTCTCCGGCGGCGGCGTCGCCATATTCTCGATCGCAGCCGTGGACGCGGGGAATTGAGGTAGAGAAGTCTTAACATTGTTCAGGATGCCAGCCTGGCTGAAGGCCAAGTTCTGTGCTGTTTGTAAATCGATAGCCGCCTTTCGAAGCGCCGCATCAAGGAACGCGACCGCATAGTCGGCGGCAGAGTATATGTCGCGCAGCTTCTCCATCACTTTCATGCATTGCTTGAAGCTACGCATGGCGATCTCGCGGGGCTGGGGTAGTGGGTTCTTCATCTCAAGTAGATGGATGATCATGGCGGGGAGGATCACGGTCACACCGGTAGTCGGGAGATACTTCTCCAATCGCAAGGCATGCAATTCAGCAACCATGCGCGTAATCTGTGATGCCGCCTCACGGACCCTAGTGCGGGACATTTCCTGGACCTGCACTGACGTCTGAGGTGCATGGGTCGGCGATGATGGGAGGAACTGGGGTCGATGAAGAGCGGATATGGTCGTGTAATACACCATATGCAAGAGGTTTCGTTGCACAGCAACCGTCGCGCGACCACCCTTAAGATCCATTGCCGACAACGGCCTGTACTGGCAGCAGGCTGGAAGCGATTGCGACCACGAAAGGAGCTCCAAATCGCACGAATTGACGCTTTCTACATTATCAAGCTGTTTATTAGGGAACAGCATCATCGTGCTGTTTGTGGTATTTTCCGCCCGAGACTTATCCCTGATCAAGACCGAGTACTGAGCTTTCAACATGCGGCTAATGCAGAGACAAAGCTTTGCTTTTGCGACACACATCAAAGCGAGTTCCTGCTGCATCAAAACGTCGCGCACAAGTGTGCATTCGGAGCCAATGATCTGGATTTCGTCGGCTAGCGGTTCGATCTCGAAGTCGTGTTCGTTTAGCATTGGTACGTCAAAATCCTCGTCCTTTATTCGTGTTGGTCGTCGCATGCCAAGGGCGATTAGGCGATCTCGCATAAAGCACGACCACCATATCCTCTTCCACAACTTCTGCTTCCGCGGGGTCATGTTAGTGTTTGCCGGGTTCCGGTGAAGCCCAATGGTATGCGCCAGCGAGATAGCAACTCCCATCCAATGCCACGTATCCTTCTGGTCGTCTGGCGTCTCATACCAATACGTCATGAGTAGAAGTCCCTGTACGAGAATGAGGCGGTCGCTCTCGTAGTCGAAATCGTACAGAAGCTATTTCCGTTAATACATATAAGGCAAATTCTAAGAGATGAAGTGCTTACTCTAGCCTTGGAGAAGAACTCTCTCCGGGCAGCTTTCCTACTAGCATAGCCTGACTCCTTAAGGTACTTCACGTCGACGAAGGCGGTAGCCGCAAACATAATGGACTGGTACAGGAACAAGCTAGCTTGTCCGTACAACCCATCTCGGGCATTAATCATGCCGAGAAAATCATGCAGCTCGATGAGAGGCATGTAAGGATGAACGTATTCGACGTAAGCGGTGAGCAGGGCATTCTGAAGACTAGGGCCAGGCAATGAAAGTGCGCCTTTAGTATGAAGGTACGTCACATCTTCAGGGGCTATCTTAGATGGGAGTGGTCGGATGAAGGCGGGTAACTGTGAAGAAGCATCAGGTTCCTCAAGCGAGTTGAGGAATTGTGCCGTCCTCAGAGCGCCCGTAGCGGCAGCCGAGCTTGAGTTCTGGCATGTGTTCGGGTTAGGCCAGATACTGGGATACCTCGATCCATTGTTACCGGCCTGGAGAGTGGACAGCAATACCGGATCAGGACGTAAGCCTGATCGTTGATCTGAAGCACATGTAAGCACTCGTGATCAACCCCGGAGATGTCTAATAATGTTTCCCCAATGTCCCACAAGGGTTGACACCACGCTGACGGGATGACACATTTGCATGTGAAATTTCGTGGGGTCCCACCACCATGACTTACATAGCAAATGAGGAACGTGACTTTCTAAGCCGCCGTCCAAGATCGCCGCCCCTGAACTAGTTACATCATTGCTAGCAGCTGAAGACTGAGTTGCCTCGCTAGCGCGACGTAAAGGCTGTGCGGCAGAGGCGATAGCAATAGGATTTGCGGGTTTCGCTCTCAACTGTGCCTCGGCAGTTTGAGGGGCAGTGGTATTTTGAGAAGCAGATGAATTCGAATTGAAGAGATTCTTTCTGTTCCGCACGAAAATGACAGGGGGTGTTAGTTAGCCGCAATTTAAAGAAGGGGGGAAAAATAAGCCAAAATGACCAAAAATTGTGGTTGGAGATTCGGAGCTTTAAAAGCTGAATGAGGAAAGAAGCCCAAGACGCCCAATGAAACGTGACGCAATTAGATCGCAACATGGAACAACAATAGTAAGAAGATCAATTCCAATGCATGAAACTTGAAAAAAAGGTAAAAGAAGAGATAAGAGAAAGAATTAGTAAATTTCGAAACTTACCTCCTACGACGACTTTCCTGGACGACGCATTCAACATTGTCCCATCTGCAATTTCCACAAGGTGCACCCTCGACAACATCACACCTTACTTTTCGGCTCCTGCAGCTTATGCAGGCCCTCGCCGCCCTCCGCTTCGTGACCTTCGTCGAGCCATTGGGTTCTGAGGTAGAAGCAGACCGCTTCTTAGATTGGTTATTCGAGTCCGACGAAGATGCCTTCTCATCTGTTTTCGGAGAGGGAGGATCCATCGCGGTTACCGAATCGTCAGTGTGTCCCTCGGGCGAACGGACCGCAAGAATTTCTTCTGGAGCCATCTTTGTATAAACGATTCCGCCTAGTCCCTTAAACTTTGAACAACAAAAAAAGACGAACGGAACAAAGATAAATAGTTAAAGGATGTATCTTTTGGAAAAATTGAAGTTATCCAGAGTATCCGAAGTTGTCTTAAGGGAGTTTCGGTGTGGTAGGTTGAGGTATGGAGGCGTCTCTTGGAATGTGTAAGTGTAAGTGCAAGTGACTACTACTACGCTTCGACGCTAGCTGTAGGTTATGTCTTGCCGTCGATGTTTGCGGCGACGAGACTAAGCGGGAGAACTTTCTCTCCCGCTTCTGACTTCCACACCGAACAACAACTTTAGGTCGTGATCTTGAAATTCGTGACAGCATGAGAAGGTTTTGGGGGAAGAAAATAAATATGAATTTACAATGAAAGAAGACGGAAGGGGTGGATTAGTGGTAGGTAGGACGGGATTTGTGTGTGGAGGTGGATATGTATGGTGGGGGGAGGCAATGGTATTATGTATAATTCCATTACTACTCCTGCTAGGGACTCGACTACTACTCGAGCTACTAAGCGGCCATAAATTGAATACCATAGTACCTCTCTAGGAAAAGCTGCCGGTCCACCAGATTCCCGATGGGGCTCACAACCGTAATTCGGGCTGCTAATAACCTGCATTGGATCCTTGAAAACCTAGCTTTTCTTTCGTCCCCATAATAAGTGTTCGCGTGCGTCTTATGCTATTGGCCTCGACAAGGAACAGATTTCGTGAGACTAACGTTAGAGCAACTAAAACGGAGTTCTCACATGCCCACAACTCGAAGCAATAGGTTAAAGGCCTGTAGCCTCGTCATCCTTGTGACTTGATTTAATCCTCTTATCCCCTTAAACAGCAAGAGACTGGCTCGAGCGGGAGGGATGTGATTCGTCGAATAAGAAGACGAATAATATGTAATAATACATACCTATTACCTACTTACCTCATACATACCACAGTACCTCCTCGTAACTCCTCGTACTCCTCATATTCTCCCCATACTCCTCACCAGACTAATACGTACGTACTATATATGTACATAACCCGATGTGTCCACAGCGATACAGCAATACCTAGCCAACTATGGCAATGTTGCCCGTTGCCCATTGCCGTTTGAAATCTGGGGAGCGTCGAAGTTCGTTTCCGATTCTTTTCCGTCTAACCCCAGCCTTGGCTTTCTAGGATTCCCAGGATCACGATCGTAGAAGGTCTCCACGCCCGAGTTAACATTGGCGTCTAACGTTCGCTTGAAATCTGTGGAGTAGCCAATCACCAAGACATGCTACAAGACATACTACTGTAGTCCCAACTCGCCGGTTTTCTTCAGTTTTTTTGATTGCATCACGTTCCCGACTTTCCTATCCCCTAGGAGGTTTAGCCGGCCACGATCTTGAGTCATCTAGGCGGTAGGTGGGATAAGTAGATAGTGAGGGTACATGTATGTACCGAAGTCCATCAAGGTCAGGTAGGGTACGGTACCTGTTAGTCTAGGGCAATGAGAAGAATTGGAACGCTTAGCATTGCCATTGGCCCGGGTCTAATTGTGTCTTAGACTCACCAATGCCCGCTCAAGAAGAAACAATAGCGAGAGTGATGTTTAATGTATGTCTTTCTTCACGAAAGAGGCGACGTTGACTTCAATCGGGGTCTAGAAGAGGCGTTCCTGACATCGAAATGGGCGCTCGGACATGTATGACATAGAAGGAAACAGATACGCTTTGTGCTTGGTGGCCGCTCGTCCGACCCACCTAAAGATATGGGACAGAAATATCCGATATAAGACCGCTTCATCGTGGAAGACATGGATTAAGCAAATCCAGTGTCCACATGCAGTTCATAGTTTGCAGGATGCAGATTGCAGAAATGCAAGCCGCAAACGGATGGATGTCATTTCGAGTATTGAACGATAGAGCACTTGCAGCGATTCGCGGTAATAACCGGGATAGCAAGCCAGTCTTACCTAACCTGGAAAGTCAGGGGTTTCGTCGGTGCTCGTCTCGTCACCGTCGAATCGAAGGTGTAGGTAATAGGCATGTACGCAGCGTACGCGATATGTATGCTGTAGGTACATACATCCTACATCCTCCTTACATACATGGCACCCACATACCTATCATGTATGTAGGTATGTATGTAGGTATCGGATTTTGGATTCCTCTACATAATTGCCTGGCAGTCTGGATTCTGGATTCTGGATTCCTTAGCCCTTAGCTTGGCCATCAGCGATGCCGCACGCGCACCAATCCTAAACCAAGTGGACCCTCGTATCCTATGAGATTTTAGTCATTAGAAAAAGCTGGCGTCTGCCATCAACAAAGGATGGATCTTGTGTTTCGAATTGGACTAGCGGGAGAAACCGGTCGAAATAGTAAAAATATCCAAATAAATGTAGGACCGTGTTCGGAGACCAGGTTTGAAATCTGATTGACGGCATTGGAGGTTGATATTATGCAAATTCTCTTTTAGATTAGTAGATTAGGAGGTCGTCGTAGCTACGAATTCGATTGCAATCTGGGCAGGTAAAGTAGCAAATGCTAAAATGGTAAGTTGTGAGTAGTAGGAATGTGACGTAGCCCGTTATCAGCAATTGAAATTTTTTAAGGTCACGATCTATCTCAGGATTTGTGGCGTGCAGGTGCAGGACCTGGTGTCACAGCAGTCCCGGAAGGTCCAGTACCTTATTTCGTAGGTAACTTCGTACCTTAAAATGGATCTGGAAACAATGGATTTGAGCGGGTTGAGCTTGACTCTTTCTGTCGCGTTTACTGGAAATGGTCGGCAAAAAATGAAGTTGCGAAGCGGGTCAAATATCATCCCCCAATTCCCCAATAAGCTGAGAGTCTGGTGACCCACAGCAATTCTCGATGCAACGATACATCTGTACGTATCGATCCGCACATCCATTCTCCATTAGCCTCACATTACGTAACCCTGCAATTTTTCTGACATTTAGATGTCCTCCTGCCTCCCTGACTTCGAAGTTCCCCTTCCCATATGTCGATGTACCTATGTACAATTTAGGACTAGGTCCTCCGGAGGTTCTCCACCCCCTCCAGCCCCTCTTACTCAGCCCCACGTCGGCTCCGCTTCTATCTTGTCGTTTAACGGACCAAAGGCGCTTAGACACTAAATTATTCTTTCATAGACGCAAAGGCAGTCTTAGCTCCCCAGACACGTCGTCGTTCTGGTTCGGGATATACTCTTGACGGCATGATCTCATGATATTCTTCGCTATAGCGCTGCTCCGACGCATGCGAAGATGTATAGATGCGTAATCGATCGCGATCTTATTCCGGATGTCCGTTACTAATTTCCCAAGACTCGGGGCTGGACCGTAGGATTTCAACGACGACAGCCACACCACTTGGCGACTTCACCGGTCGACACCGGCGTTTTTATAGGACGGTATTAGTATGGTCCGTCTGGTCGTGGCCTCGCACTTTATATCCATATGGATTTACTGTCGAATTCAACCCGCCCTGCCCCGTCTTCGAATTGTGCAGTATAGCAATTCCTCATCTAATTGTTTGATAATTAGTTTGGGCAGCAAAGTCAGTATCAATTCCACTATTTCGGGTCCTGTTCAGCCGATCCTTGTTATGTGTTTGCAAGTGTGGGGAGGATCGTGAGTATAAGGCCTGCTATACTGCATATTATCAAGTAAAGATAACGAGAGCTGAATAACCTGTTTGGCTAGCTCGTACCTGGTAGGGTTGATCCTCACACTACTAGGCAGGTAATCGTGCTTCATTCGAGTACATATCAATAGCCTCCCGTCACCATTTTCGTCTTATCATTCCCTTTAATCCAGAAGCCAAGCTCCTTACCTCCGGAATATCTAGGAATCTCAATCGATTATTTTCTTACTCTTGGATCCTCTTTTGAGACGCAGAAATCACGAGATAACCTAGATTAACTAGCTAAGGTTAGTTTACTCCGCATCGCATGACGACGTTTTTTAGCAACTAGACCCAAGAATGACCTAGTCCAGCTCACGTCTTCATTTCCAACCCCAGGATCTGGGATTCTTGGCCTAGGCTTCTGGGGTCCCCGCATCATTTCATGTGAAATCCTCCCTCTTGCCCAATCCAACCATAGACATGTTTCCAGGGGTTTAGTCTACCTAGCAGCCTAGTCAAAAGTGGCGTTTAGAAGGTGGGATACTTGACTTATTTTCCCCAACGTATATAAAAAATTTCACAGTAAATAATTATAAACGGGTGTCCTAAATCGGCAACCCGCATAATTATGTTTACGGAATCACGCCACATGCTACCCGTTACATCCATATGAAGCGTCTAGACCTTAGACACCGACCTTACAGGCCAAAGGGCAATATTTCTTCCAAAGCGAATCGCGTCGCTTATTTGTTCGTATATGTGGCGTTCGAAGCTGTCATCACGACGTCGAATTTTTCGGAGACCAGGCGATTCTGATATAGGACTTTCTAGGCATTGGGGGATCCTTAACCTAGTTGGAATTCACACCATCATGACTCCCATCGCTCACCTCCGGACGAATGTATAGCGCGAGACCCTTCATCCGGGGAGGCGGGGCCTGCAGCAGTGTCTCTTATGACGTATAGGAATGTTTCCTAGCTGCCTGGCAGAGTTGTTTTCGGCGCGAGTATCGGTCGTGGGAATGTGAGAACTGACAAAAAATACCTTGAAGCAATATTGGTAGAATTGCCACTGGGTATGGCCTGAATTGACTCTAGTCATCGCTCGAGGCAAATTTCTTTGTGTAACTGTTTCTTTGGCAAGCGAGTCCAGATATAACACGCCGGCTTACTCGGAGGCGCTGGAGGGGGTCCGGTCACGGTCACCAGACAGTTGACTCGGCGGCCCCCCACCGGCAAGAGTCTGCGGGGACCTTCCAACGGGGCTCGGTATCATCGGGGAAAGGTGGAATACCGAATCATCCCCGGAGCTGCAGATCGGAGAGACAATAAATTGGGATGAGGTGACACGTCCATACATTTTTTAGAATTCTCTTTGTTGTACTATGCACTCAACAAATCGCTGCCACATCGAAAAATGGACCTGTACGCACATACCGAAACCTCCCTACCCTCTAAAGCCTGAAGGCTCTCGCGGCTAAGTGTTCATCGCGTCTATATCTTCGTCGAGATTTTCGCTTCTTAAAATGAATTTCTAGATCTACCGACGTTTCCATTTAAAAGCTTCATCATGAGAAGATACACAATACCGCGTAGGCGATTTCTTAAGGTCCGACGACGTAGCATCTCGATAACTGGTTTATCCCTAGCTGGAAAAAGGCCGCCCCCTATGTTCGGTGAGACGTCGGAGAAAAGGGTCAGGGAGCCGGCGTTCCCTAGTGGACAAGATGTGGATTCTGAGCTGTTATGTGTATGCTTCTCCTATTTGAACGGTGAAAATCTCCATAGTTTTGAGCATCTTTAATTCTTAGCTCCTTATCTTTGTGTTGAGAGAAGTATTATTGGAGGCTGACTACCGATCGTGCCGAATTAATTTCCTACGATCGTCCTGCATAAAAGCTTAACGTCCATTATAGATGGCTAAAATGCTCTGCGATATGTTCCATTCTGGAGTGGATATATGTGGCTATTTGAGACTTAGAACTAGGTAGGCGATGGTCCACTATGCGAAGTGTTACCGTAACAGCCCGCTTGGATAAACAAGTGTAGAATTATGATACGTGGGATGAACTCCTTCTAGAAGTCGGACGCATGCACTTGACCTAAGCTATCTTCACAACGCAGTGCTTGTTTTAGCCCTATAATGCTTGGTATCATTCCAGAGTACTATTGACCGAACGCCTGCCTCGAATACAAACGCCGCGAGAATAACATTTGCCGTCCTAGACCATTTTGAGCCGGATATAGTATGTGATGCCTGTTTGCATCCACCACATTTCCCACGGTAGAAGGTCGAGCAATCATCCAAGGCTCATCATTGAGATCCACTAATGAAGGAGGCCTTCTTGCTCATCTTCCTTGCGTATTTCCTTCCATTCTTCCTCAGTGACATGCAGATATTGTGATAACACAGTCGTGAAAGCCCAAACTTCCCCGGTGAAAAGGAGTTTGGCCACATCCAACTGGATGATATTGAAGACTCCTCGCCACGTTAATCCCCCTAAAAAGCTACCGCCACTCATATCTTCGTACGGAATGCCCCTTCTAAGTGCAAGGGCTCTTGCTACCACCGGGGAAGCGTGAATGTCGAAGGGTAAAAAAAGGATGTTCGTAACAAAGTTGGCGAGTATATCTGACGCAAACGAGCTAGGTAAGGTAGTTAAGGGGTTTACTGCGTATACGGGCGTCTCTTTGGTCTGCTGCCGAGAGTCTCCTGGATAGCTAGGGCGTAATTCGGCTGACCAGACCCCGGTTTGCGGCTCGGTAGATTCACTAGTATCCACGTCAAAGCTAATAAGCGTTGGGTTAACCATCTCAGCATCCTCTTCGTCAGTACCATATTCATCGCCAGCCCGGCTTGAAAATGTGCCCCGTCTACTAATTGAACCAACAGGAATGGTTTCGCCACTAGGTTGATCCAGAGCCAACGGTGTTAGAACATCGGGTTCCAGGGTCTGGTGTCTGATCTCCCGATCAGCTGCTCCTAAAGTCGGAGATTCCGGCATAGCTTGCCTTTGGATAGCACCTGTGGATAATGGCAAGCCCTTTGGATAGGTAGGCCGGGGCAGGTGTTGGCGTATGTGAGATCTTATTACAGCGTATGCCGACCGCAAAATGTGGCCGCATAGATAAAATGTAGCATAAGGAGCTATACCGGCAGCTAGCTTGCCGACCCAGCCCAATATACTAGGAAAATCTAGTGATTCGGGTAAGGGAGGTGCAGAAAATGGCGATGTGCTAGAAAAGGGTATAAAAAAACTAGGACCGGGAAGCCACTGAGATCCAGGTACCAGATCTAGGCGCTGCATGGTGAGAAACACACTCAAATGGAACCGAACGTATTCCATGCCGACAAAGAGCCTAGAAGATATTAGTATTTGTCGTTTATGAGGTTTATAAGGTTTATATTTTGCTTACCATGGATATTTCTTTTTTGCGTATGGCTTGAAATACGTAGAGGTTACTTGCAACCCATACATAGCCATATGGCATGGATAACCCGCAAATAATAGCTGTAGAAAGGAGTGACCTCTCCATTCTGATTGTAATAATTGAAAGAATGAAACGTCGGCGCGTTTCTGGTATGCCTGCTAAAGTTAGTGTGTCTAGAGTAGAAGATATATGTATATCCATGTGAATCCAATTGTAGCATAACTTACTAAGATGCGTCGTCGTACGTTGAGGATACCCCAAGTGTTCAGTATTCCAAGAGAAGAACCGAGTTGATATAAAGTCCTTCCTGTATCGCTTTCGTACTCTTGATGTTGTCTAGCTAATTCCGAGTCGGCTAGATTAATACCATTATTTTCAGGTTCAGCAACTCCAATCACAAGCATGACCTCGTTATGAGCGCGAATAACATCCTTAATGATTTGCTTAGTCCGGGGGTTAACAATTCGCCCCAATCCATCGTACTGCTTCTCAGGCTCATGAATATCATCTGGGCCTTCTCCTCGCACAACATCATCATAAGGAGATCGCCCCTAATTTTATCGTCAGTTTAGGTAAGGTCTTAACATTATATCCGAGCGCTTACCAATGCTAGGGATGTTAAGGGTTCGAGTCTCCCCATCGTAGGATGAAGCGCGTTGACTGCATTAAAATGGAATGTATTAAAAATAGGTGGCTCCGAATTACCAAACAAGATAAACTTCGTTAAGATTTATCTAGTCTTGATTGGTATGAGAATAATACATTTATCAAATTTGAAAGTGTGAGAAATCTCAAATATGATCAATGAACTTAGGTCACAATTGTCCCAAGCAAGTTCCTAATATGAACGATGAAAGGTTATGGTATCGACTGGAATATCAGCTGAAGGTACGGTACAATACGCAATCATTTAGTTGCTAACGCCGTTTCCTTGTACCGCGAATTAGCGCTATCCAATCGTTAAAAGCTCTGACCATGGTCTACTACAGCGTACCTAACATCCGCTATGATTGGCCCCAAACCCTGAAACGATCAGTGATTTTCTTATCGATAATCGACCGACCCTCAAAAATTTCTTGAGCATTCCGCAAGCAAACGCATAAGGAAGAATCTACAATATAATCGTACGAATTTCGGATTTCAAAATGGCCAATAAAGCGCCTTTCAAGACGACTTTCGAGGCGACTGAAGTTATCCGGCCAATTTTCACAGGTGGTGCTGTCGCATTAGAGAATGGCGCACGAATCCTTGCGACGACTCTGGGAGAGGATGCGGTCTTGACTGACATAAAGACGGGAAAGCACATTACCACAGTTGAAGGGGTTTGTACACAATTGGCTTGAATACCGAGCTTACCGCTAACTATCTCAATACAGGATGGGGAACTGATATCTACACTAACTTGTAAGTTCACCAACATCTATCCTCGTTAAATTATCTGTGCTAGGACTTATCGAAGTGTAGTAACTCCGTCGGGATCTCACCTTATCATATGCTCTCGTTCGCTATCTATGCGAATATACTCTCTAAAGAAGTCAAGCGATACGATAGAACCTCAATTGGTACGAACATTAAAACCTCACACTACCCCCGTCGTCGTTTTGGCCGTCGATCGAACTAGTACGCTGCTTGCGACCGGAGGAACCGATGGATCAATCAAAGTATGGGATATCAACGGCGGTTACGTTACACATACCTTTCGAGGACCAAGCGTGCTTGTATCCGCCCTCCATTTCTTCGAACTTGCCGCGAGTTCGACACATACCCAAGAAACCGCTCAGGAGAAGAAGAAGAGAAGGAAATCGAAAGGCGCTGCTGAGGATGATGAAGATGAGATATCATCTACAGTAAGGTTCCGATTAGCCTCTGGGAGTCAAGATGGAAAGGTTCGCGTATGGGATCTACATAAGAGGAGTGTCGTAGCGAACCTCGACTCGCATGTTTCAGACGTTCAAGGTCTGGACTATTCACCCACCCAAAATGCGCTGGTGACCGCCGGTAGAGATAAGACGATCAGGTGGTGGGATACGAAATCTTGGAAAGTACGAAAGGTTGTCCCCTGTTTTGAACTTATCGAGGCAGTTGGCTTCATCGATGATGGTCAACTCACTTATAGTGCCGGATCAAATGGGTGTCTGCGATTATGGGCCACTGACACCGGGCGGGAACTTACGAAAGAACAAACGCCAAAGCCCGAGACTGAAGCTTTTGTAAGAGCCATTTACCAACCAGGATTTCCATTCGTCATATGCGTTCAAGTCGACCACACTCTATCTCTTTATCAAATTCCTTCCGAGGCCCACGATCTATCTCAAGTCGCGCCCCCCGAGCCATTTCGCCGAATCTCAGGCACTCACGACGATATTATAGATTTACGGTATCTACTGCCCGATCATTCTGCTTTGGCTTTAGCGACAAATTCCGAAGACATCCGAATTGTATCAGTGACCGAACCAAAATCTGGGTTGGAAACTTTAGTCTCTTCCGAGTATTTCGGGCAGGATATCGCTCTTCTCAAGGGCCATGAAGACATAATTATATCACTTGATGTCGACTGGTCTGGTCATTGGGTCGCTACGGGTGCCAAGGATAATGCCGCGAAGCTATGGAGAATAGACCCGGCTAACAATTCTTATACCTGCTGGGCCACATTTCCGGGACACGCCGAATCTGTCGGGGCGGTAGCATTGCCTCGAAGTCGGCCGGTAGAGGGCTCTAAAGCACATGCCGACCCCTTAAACTATCCGCCTCCATTCTTAATCACAGGATCCTCTGATCAGACTATTAAAAGATGGGAAGTACCGCGAGAACCACAAAAGGGCGCAAAGGCAACTATCAGAGCTGCTTACACGCGAAAGGCCCATGACAAGGACATCAATGCCATCGACATCAACCACTCATCACGTTTATTCGCCTCGGCTTCCCAGGACAAAACTGTCAAGATTTGGTCGATAGAAGAAGGTGAGGTTCAGGGAATCCTCCGAGGCCATCGCCGAGGTGTGTGGTCTGTTAGTTTTGCGCCTCTCAACACTCCGGTGCTTCAGGGTGAACAAGGTTCCGTGGCTGGGAAGGGCGTTATACTCACAGGAAGTGGAGACAAGACAGTTAAGCTATGGAACCTTACGGATTATACATGCTTGAGGACATTCGAGGGTCATTCAAACACTGTCCTTAAAGTGGTGTGGCTTAACATCCCGCCAAACGAAGAGCGTGGTAAGAAACCTATACTTTGTGCTAGCGCTGGTGGAGATGGTCTAGTCAAAGTATGGGATGTTAATTCCGGTGAGAATGAGTGCACGCTCGATAACCACGAGGACCGAGTCTGGGCTCTTGCGGTACATCCCGAGACGAACATGGTTGTCTCTGGCAGCGGTGACTCTACTGTCTCATTCTGGAAGGATACTTCGAGTGAAACGCAAATTGCGACGAACGAAGCAGCCCTCAAGCGCATCGAACAAGAACAAGAGCTTGAGAATTACGAATATGTGGGGGCTTACCGCGAAGCAATCACGATGGCGCTTCAGCTCAACCACCCCCGCAAGCTTCAGAGTCTCTTCGAGCGAGTAGTCAATTCGAAAACACCAGAGATTAGCAGCCTTTCAGGCTTAAGGGCTGTCGATGAAGTATTAGCCTCCCTTTCCGACGAGCAGCTGTTCCTGCTCCTCCTAAGACTGCGAGATTGGAACACCAACGCCCGAACGGCACCTATGGCCCAGCGCATCCTGTGGACCCTCATTAAGAGCTACCCTGCATCGCGTTTCTCCAACTTGTCTGTAAAAGGGGCCCGAGGTCAGAAGAGCTTGAAGGAGGTCTTGAATGCGCTTAAGGTCTATACAGAGAGGCACTATAAGCGCATGGAGGAGTTGGTTGAGGAGAGCTATCTAGTGGAATATACCCTGCAGGAAATGGACAGTCTCGCGCCCAGTTTAGGTAGCATGAAGTTGGCAGAGAATGGCGATTTAGATGTCGTCATGACGTAGATTTTGCTAGACTAGATAGATAGTCTGTCAATTCTGTATAGATCAATTAATTATATGGTACAAATAGAGTATTCTGTACATTGCATGACTGGGATACGAGAGTCGCTTTGAGTATCAATATACAGTCGGGTCTTAGTTCCAGGTAGCCTCTTGCTATTTACGATGGCATATCTACACATTCATCAACATATGCTGTCAAATGGCCATAATAACGTATCTATTTACAAGTAAATCAGGTGGTGGTGGGCGTTTAGTTGGGTATATCGGTCAGAATAGATGTCATTTGTTCTTCTTCTTCGCCTTCAACGCCGTCATCTTATCATCCCACTTCTCCCACCCAGCCTGACACAAATCCTCCTCCACGACCAAATCCCGTATTCGAAAAAACTTCGCTACCGGCGTCTCCAAGCCCCACGCCAACCAGCCCGACCGCCGCACCACAGTCGTGATAACAAACCATCCCACCGCACTGACCGTGCCCGCGGCCCATCCCACCAAAACCTGCTTCTCCGTATGGTAATTCAGATAAATCCTACTCCACGCCACCGCGGCCGCCATCCCCGCAACGACCGCGCACCAAGCGGCCCGCTCGAGCATGCTCATGGGAGTGTGATTGCGCCGCAGGACGCGCGGGCTCGGGGGCCGGTGGCGGAGGAGCAGGAACAGGGCGACGGAGACGGCGAAGTACGCGACGAACTGCGCGTGGCTGCTGGGCATGCCGTAGCCCTTCCCGTTCATGCGCCGCGGCCGCTCTTCTTTGATCAGTCGCTTCAGTATGAAGTTGATCGCTTCGCAGGCGAGCTGGCCTGCGAATAGTAGTGCGATCTCGATCTCCCGCGTCGACCAGATTAGCGTCGCGTACATCACGCAGAGACCCTGTGGCACGAGCGCTAGGAAGGCGCAGAGGTAGGATATTGGGTCGGATGGGTCCTGTTGAGAGGGAGGAAGGATGGTTAGTTTATGAGGTTCTGGGGTGGAATGGCGAGGTGTGGTAGTTGGGACTTACATAGTGGACGTGTGTTAGCGACAGGGACGCCAGCACGGGCTCGTCGGCCATTTCGAGGAGTAGTAGGAGGTGTTTACAGAAGTTGGGGTTCGGGGTATCTGTCTTTATGGGATATTCTTATCGATGCATTGCTCGTAAATAATATATAAGTTTTGTTCTAAGCGGAAGTAAGAAGAGTGACACGTGGTTATACGACTAGAGCAACTATCGATTGAACAGACTTTCATAGATCAAAAGTATGAGAGTAGAGTTGGCCTGTTCGACGCCACCTATTACCCCAGGTAATTGACGGTGTCAATTGTCGGGAAGAGGAGACGGCTAGAAATTTCTAAGGTTGTCTTGGGACTCAATGCCGTTTCGTCATTGGGAATAGTGTAGTACAAAAAATCAATAGATGCCAGCTGCCCATCAGTTGTTCACGATTAAATGGAAAACGCGCATATGGGATAAAACATGAAGGTTAGGTGCATATTTTACAAGGGTCTACCCCGCTAGCCTGCTATCGGAAAAAGGCTGTACTATCATCTAACATGTAGGGCATCCCGGTCGAGAGCTGTAAGCTAACAGGTAAGCTCACAATCGTCATAAGGGAAATTGCCCCTCATACTCGGTATCGATAGCAGCATTTGTGATCCTTCAACTTTCGCGATCCACGGATCCACTCTGCTACTGTATTCTTCGCCGTCAGACTCATACATCTCTTTTGTTCCAGTGTTATCTCACAGCCACATACGATTTCCGAAATGAAATAGACATATCTCATTTGAAAAATCCGACAGAATCATTTGTCACTCCTAGAAACTTTCGTCAAACTTCTCCTATAAACTCTTCTACTCACAACCGACATTCCTACGTGCCGCCAAGCTTAGTGCTGCAATCTACCGATCTCGCCTAATTTTAGAACTCGTCTTTTTAGCGAGAACAATTCTTTTAACGACAGCAAGTTCACTTACCAGCTTTTTGTTAATCGTACACTTAGTCACGAGAACAAAGAATGCGATAACGACAAGCAAACAGACTACCGTATCAATAAGTCAATAAGCTGTTATAAAGTTACCCGGGCAACACACGGAGATGTTCACAAGTACTCGGCGCAGCCAGACACGTTTTAGTGGGAACCGATAACCACTAAGACAACATGGAAGTAGAAGATATTCGTCAAGAAGAGTTGTCGACCGTAGCAGCTATATATCCCGAGCTACAGGTCGACGAAAATGATCCAAATACAATCTCCCTTGAGCTCCTCGTGAGCTTAGTTAGTCCCCTAACAGTGCTTTTTCCAGCCGCCACTGAAGTTGCGCCTCCGGTTGAGCAAGCACAAAACCAGATCCCAACTGTAGCAGCCTTAGATTCCCATGATTTGTCATATCTGCCCTCTTTGCAGATTCGCATAGAGCTGCCGGACGGATACCCCCAAGAAAAGCCGCCTAAAGCTAATATCTCCACCACCCCTCCGTGGTTATCAGAGAAGATATTGTCTAAGCTCGAGAGCGATGTTTCATCTCTCTGGGAGGAACTTGGTCGTGATCAAGTCATCTTTACATACATCGACAGTCTACAACAGTTAACCGAGGATGTGTTTGGCTTGGTTGACAGTAAAGGACGCTTAGAAGTTGCACCGGAATACAAGATCGCAATATTGGACTACGATATCAAGGCTAGGCGAAGAGCTTTCGAGAAAGAGACGTTCGATTGTGGCGTTTGTCTGGAGCCGAAGAAAGGCGTCGTATGTCACAGGTTGCTGGAGTGTGGGCATGTCTTTTGTGTCAATTGTCTACAAGAGTTTTATAACAACGCTATCACAGAAGGGGATATATCTTCCGTCCAATGTCTCGAGCCAAAATGTGCCAAACAACGCGAGGACTCTATCAAGGGATCCATCAAGAAGAAGAGAGCCAAAACTTTCATTAGCCCTAGCGAACTCTTGCAGATTCCCCTCGAGCACGATGTGGTTATGCGCTATGTCATGCTGAGGCACAAGACCGAGCTTGAGTCGGATAAGAATACTGTGTATTGTCCTCGCCCATGGTGTCAGGGCGCCGCTCGATCGAAGAAGCACAAGAAGCCCGAGGGTCTTGAATTCGTTGATTCATCCGATGATGAGGATGACGAAGATGAAGTCGAGGAGAACGAAGCAGATAAGGTGGGGAAGAAGTTCGATCGAACGCGGGAATTGCTTGCTATCTGCGAAGACTGTGATTTTGCTTTCTGCACACGATGTGAACAGACATGGCACGGCGAGTTCAAGCATTGCTATACGAAGGACAGACAGATCGAGGTGACGGCAGAAGAGAAGGCATCCCTTGAGTACATGAAGCTTCACACATCAGAGTGCCCGACCTGTGGTGCTCCGTGTCAGAAGACTCACGGTTGTAATCATATGCAGTGTTTCAAATGCCGCTCGCACTTCTGCTATCTCTGTTCTTCATGGTTGGACCCCTCGAATCCGGTAAGTAAATTTTGTTTCTTTTTTCTACTCCCCTCAAGAGCCCCAACCCCTTTAAAAAAACTGTTTTGGCGACGAGTGTCTCCGAGGCTAGTTTTCTATGTCAAATCACCTGTATAGTTTAATGAAACTTTATACTAACTTGAGATAATATAGTATCAGCACTTTAACGTGCAGCCTTCAGGGAAAGTCAATGATTGTTACCTGAGGTTATGGGAGCTAGAAAGGGGTGACGGTAACGACGTTGGACAAGCCTTCGAAGGTGACGGTGGAGGACACCCAGAGATCCCAGCAGCCCAGCCCGAACGACTTTTAGTTGTCCTCCCTCGTGCAGCACCCGAAAGACCTGCGAATGATCTAGGCGATGGACCTGGTGAGGCTGATGTAGAGGAAGCACCGCGTCAACAGCCGCGGCCAAGACCCGGTCAACCACAACCGCCAAGGGATCAGCCAAATGGGAGGGTCGCCGTCGCCCGCGAGGGGCCGCTGGTGCTCCGTATCGAAGGGGATGCGCCGCCGGTTCAGGCAGAGGTCGTACGACGCCCTCATCCCGGCATTCCAAATCCCCGCGAAGGAAATCAGGGCCTCAACAATAATGCAGGTCAACGAGGGGGCCGAGGCGATAGGAGAGGCAGAGTCCGACAAAACAACCGGAATCGACCTCAGGGGCAGAACCGTCAAGCGAACGATAACGGTCGCGATGGCCAGATTAGGATGGGGGATGGCGATGTGCTCCGAGGAGACGGCCAGTTGGATGCGAGGCAAGAGGCATGGGTTCGCCAATTCGTGCAGCTCGCACTGAACGATCAGGAAGATCAAATCGAGGATAGTGATGACGAGTAGACAGGGGGAAGATCTTGATAGGCGCAAGTCGGCCTGGGCAGTAGGCATGCGAGGCACAAAGATTCCCAAGACGGTAACAACGACGCAGCAAGATACTTCAAGAGACCATGCTCATAGCGAGTTTGGCTAACACAATAACTCAAGTTTATTGAACTCCCGAAAGGAGCTGACCAGAAGCCGCCGTTGGCTGGTAGCGAATGGGGCGTGATGTTGCATGCTCTAGCGGCTTCCGGCAGCTGTCACGGGGCAGAGAGGTCTGGCGTACATGACGAATCGCCTTTCGTTCGTGCTAAAGTCACAGCGGATTGCTGAGATAGGCAGATCTCGCCGGCTCGCCAATGTTACGCCGAAGTGACATTCTTCTGGTGGTTTTTTTTCTCGTTGGCCTTTTTTAATCTTTTTTTTTTCGTCGATTTGTTTAAACCGACACCCTCAAGAAGGGTTTCGACGACGACGCCTTTCATGTCTCTCTGTGTCTTCCTCTCTCTCTAACGGCACAGCACGAAGTAGGCTGAGTACCTCTGTCTACCTACCTACATATCTCACATACATAATGTGTTTCGACAGGCAGACATCTGTCTACTGGATACTACGATCACGGATACCGATGCTACCTGGGTATGGGAGATCGCTAATAATAAACATTGCCCGTCCCAATGTGCGTGTTATGTGTTTGATATCCATTACCGTAAGCACTCAAAATAACCCGGTATGTAACAGCACCATCACAAGATTACGATGCATTGAATATTTTTTTTTCTCTCAATTTTTTCTTTCTTCTCTCGTTCGTGACATGCAATCAATGCTGTGACGAGAAATTATTTGATACGATCGCCAATGGGTGTTGATAGATACATACATACCGCATCGCATCGCAACCGATTGCTTATTGCTTGCTTATTGCCTGTTGATCCACCCGTGGCTTGGAGGTACCTGCAGGTTGTCTCAGACGATTCGACACGGAAGAGTGTATAGAACACGCCATATAGGATCGCCCATTGGATTATGGATAAGGGGGGGAGATTCTTTACTATTTCGAATTTGATGATTTGATGCTTTACTATGTACGTCTATGTACGTTCAACAACTGCGATCTTCGACTCCAATAGCGTCTTCCGTATCTCTCTTAGCTATGCAGGTAACAACAAGCTCTGAGTCTCTTCCCCCCTTGTCGAGGTTTATAAAAAAAAAATCCAACAAACCAGCCCCCCCTTGTCGGGAGATCTCTTTTTAGCTGTCTTTTCTGCTTTTTAAAATTCATGACTCGTGTTGTAGTGCTAGTGTACCCGCGACGATCTGTACTTTGTATCGAAATGTTTTGGGCAGTAGCTTATCATACCATTACACTATCTATATGTACATACGTACATACATACCCTTACGGACATGGCCTCTGGAACCCCAGACGAGGATTCTGCGTGTTGTGGGGGTTTAAGGGGAGAGAGTAGTGAGAAGAGGAAAGGCGTGAGATTGGGAACGGATCCCGGGTTTCTCATTGGTGATAATTGGTCGATTTATTACAGCGGGCGGGCGAATTCTGATTCGCCTTCGCTCCCCCTTGAATTATTATTATTTTCTGACATTTCCCTTTTTCTTTTTCTTTTTTTTTCTTTTTGTCGCGCCATATTCTTACACGGTAAGGAACCGTGGGGCAGATTATTGATAGACCGGACAAGGCTGGTGTCTCCATTTGCCTACATATTTGCTCTATTCGTTATCGTTGGAGGGGTTGGACAACCTGCCTCGTGGTTCGCGTCATTAATGCGCCGTATTGAAGAATTACATTGCAGATTACTGCTATTGCCCATCGAAGCTATATGATATAGGCCGAGTTTGATGAGTCTTTTTAAGACGATCTGTGAATGTCATCAATGCGGTTCGCATGGAAATTGCACTTTGATGAATATAGGTGATATCCTAGGCTGCCACATGCTAAGCCTGCATGATCGTTTTGATTACTAGGTATGGATATTAAAAGATGTCGTGAGCGGCGGATTATCATCGTGTAACTTCACCACACACATACATATCTACATACTAGGTAATTAGTACAGTATACACACTCGCGCTAGGAATTAGGATATAGGATATAAGGCACGGGATAGGTGCAATAATATTAGAAGACGCTAGCGAAATGTTTAATACGTAGATGATGAAAGAGACTAGTAAGAAAATAGAAGTTTGGCGACCGCGTGGAATCGTCGATTAGGGTCTAAGCTACACGTGGGAAGATATACAACGTAGTATACATATAAATGAATTGGATACTCGTACGGCGACAGATAAAGGCTAGAATAGGCATTCGATTGGGGGCCATCTGTCTGCTTTCTGCAGAGAAGTGCCAAGATGGTTGCATCGATTCCAACAAGGGAAAGAGATTCGAGCTAGAGAGGGTAGAGAAGGGTAGAAAGAGGGCTGGCGGCAATAAAAAAAAAGTTGGAGTTGGAGGAGCTGATTTTAGTCGTAATGAGAATTGACAGGCAAGGGGTATGGTATGGGTTGTACAGTTCACCCCTTGTATTAATGTTAGTTTGTTTCAATATAAATACCGCTATGAACTAGGATATGGAAGTCTCGAGCAGGGCTTTGATACGTATTTCTGAAACGTATAGATTTTTATTCTTTTTTATACCGAATAATAATGATAGAATGCTAATCGGCTATAATATAAAAAAAATTATATGTTTTAAGGATAAGATTCCGTTACATTATTTAAGGTTGAAACCTGGCGAGATACTTCTTTAACAGGCCTTGATGAAGTATAAAATCGATTTCGTACTAACATTAATACAAGGGGTGAACTGTACATACCTATCTACATAGGTACATGTACCTAGCCATCTCATAGAAAGACCAGCCGCAATTTGGAACCTTGGAACTTTCTTCTTTTTTAGGTTGAGATAGGTCGTACAGATTGTAGATAGACTTATTATACATCCATGATGTATCTACCTTTAGTGTTACCACTAGGGACACCTGGATCTAATACGGTAGTACGCAAGGTACCTAGGTATTTGTTGGATAGCCCTGAAGAAGTTGGAGGGTCCGGAGCCGGCGACGAGGATTGGACGGGCTAAACTCGGAGGGGTCCTTTCCAGGCTAAAGTAGGTAATGCATAACGGGCGTATCTATAGCCTCGTCAAATCTCGGCAGCCTGGTCTATTATTGCTATTATTGTTATTATATCTGCAGTTGTATTTGGAGTTGTTGTTACTGTTATCATTTTGGTTGTTATATGAAATGTACTATGTAGCTAAGTATGGAAAAGAGTTCGTGATGTGTTTCGCTTATTTCATGTCTCGACGCATGCTTATGCTTTCATCTCTATGCGGTTTCATATATGAAAATATCCCATGGCATCGCCATGGGATAGTAGAGATGTACATACATGTATGTATGTAGGTACGTATGTACATGTGAGTACATCCATGGATGGATCACGGTTCAGGTAGAGATTAGAGATTAAAGATTAGAAACTCCAGCATGTCTCTGTGCCCTGGAGAACTGAGGTCGGATCCTGCGGGCTGCTGCTTTTGCGGGGTAATGCGATTATAGTCGGGAGTTGTCAGTTTTAAACTCCTAACGGGGCGGCGGACTGCGTCTGTCTTCATAACTTATTTCCTCTTTCGGCAAGTATTGGAGTGGAGACTAGCGTGTAAACGGAAATCTGCAAATGTACAATATGTACAATATCTATGTACAAGGTATCACGATACAGACTTGCAGACTTGCAGACTTGCAGACTTGCGGACTTACCAGTTACAACATTCTATGTAGGTACCCAGAAATAGAACTCGACAAGAAAACCAAGAGTCCAGACAGCTCAGCTCAGGGTTCTACAAATATGACAATGGTCACCTATGCCACCTAATAAATTACGTCGAATATATTTCTAATTTAATAAGCACTCCTGCTAGGTTACCTGCGCAAGCTTATTTAGATAAAGATCCAAAACGACGGGAACCTGGGGGCCGCGGGAGGAATTACAACACTGAACCAAGCAGGCACTAAACCGCCTTCTTCTCTGTAGGGCTGCGTCAGTTATACTACGGCGGGAAGATCCAAAAGCTGACAATCCAACCCAAGCTTCCTCTACTTGGAACTTGGAACCAACCTTTGTCAAGCTCAGGTAATCAGTCCTACCAAGTAGGCAATGCCTGTTTTGACCGGTTTTGAGGGATGTGATTGGCCCGACACCCTGCTGCTGAGAGTCTCGAATATAGTACACCGTACGCGGCAAGGCGGCATAGGAATGAAGGAGGAGGAGAGAATTTTCGCTTGATGGGTGTATGAATGATGGTGTACTAAGTAGTAAAGTACTGGTTCAGTGTTATGAGTTGTAGATAATTAGTATTATGTTGGTAGCATATGTGGCCTTTTAGAGTTGGGGTTCGTGTTCGGGATGCGAGCGCGGGAGTAACCTTCATTTGAGTTGCCCTCTCTAAAAGACGTGATGGAGGGTCAGATTAACCAATCAGAATTAGGTCAAACGTTGATGCCTTCTAAACTGGGACCTCGCACCGAGATATTCGACAAGGCTGTACTGGCATTGCAGTATGATATGCGAGACATGCAAGACATAGAAAAATCCTTTCAGCTTTTCATTTTCTATGTATGCTGTACGATGCGTCCTAACCGAGTAAACGAAGTCGTCATACATTCGATCCGAATCCGTAACTCCAGTTACCTATCTGCCTATCACCTATTATCATGTAATGTCCTGTATGTCTTATACACATTTAGGTAAGCACATGCATATACGTCGAGGCTGACTATTACTAGTGTCATGTACGAAGGATGATTAAGGATCTGCTCGAGACTGCGAGTGTCCCTCCTTTGGTCCCTATTTGTATATTATTAGTAATGGACAAGCCCGTAGACCAGCCGTAGACCGGACTAGTCACTATTAGTAGATGTATTGAAATGTAAGTTTCTTGTTAGTTCGAACGTTAGTCGTATACGCAGATACGTACTAATAGGTAGATATATAAATACATGTACTATGTATGCAATATGTACATATATATCTAGTAATTGACCATATTGATACTGACAGACATGCATGAGTGCATATCAGCCCCGCATCGATACCTAGTACATACACCTAGGGTTAGTAGGTACGCATGTACATCGATCTCCACTTGTTTCCCACGGGCTATCACAATGATCTATGGCCTGATCCCAAGCGCGCTAAGCTTTTCCCCTTTTATAATTCTCTATTGATTACTCCGTACCGTATCCTATTCCATCCTATCCTGTCCATCCTATCCAGCCTATCCAACCTATCCTGCCTATCGTATTCCAGGTCACCAGTCACGTACATCTCCTCACGAGGCAGATTCGATTTTTTGACTCAACTGAGACATCGCCAGGCTTT